AAAACGTAACATAAGCAAAAGAGATAACAAATGGCACAATCATACTGAAAAACATTCTACAATCGAAGGTTAAAACTTCTCAAAAAATGTTAACTAAACTGCATGATTCGAAGGGGATAACACCCAAATCTATTATCTATGCAAATCACAGGAAGCATACAAAAATAGTGGAAGGAGTTATGATCAAGAGACACATGTAGGATGAAAGTGAGGGAGTTTGAAGAAGCCACATAAAGATTGAGTTGGCTAATGAATGTAGATGGCCAGATGAGTATGAGAAGGGTTGAGGAATCGATGCAATCTGTCACCGTATAACACCAATCCTCTTCTGGGTTTTTCTGACATTATCTATACCACTGTTGAATTCTAAAGGTGCAAAGGGTTTGTGTTGCCTCTAAGATGGTAAATTAAGAGAGCTAATAAACTACCTAAAAATGTAAATATAAATAATAGAGAGTATAATCTAGAGAATTTTCGAAAAGCTTCATAAGCTCGTTGAAATAATAGTCCCAACAACTTAAAAAAATAGTTTATAAGCTAGTTTTTAGCTTCACAAACATTAAAACTTAAAAAACTAAAAAATAAGTAAGTCACATGTATGTGCCAAATAAACAATCCCAAATACCCTTTCATACTCGTAGCCTCATAGTAAACATAAATGATCTTTAACTTATAAGATATTGAGTAAAGTGACCATTATAAATAAGTTTTTCAAAGAAAATAATCATTTTTTTTTAATTTTTGAAAAATGGCATCTTTCTCCATAATGCCCATTCTGAATTGTTTTTCAATTTTTTTGGAGTTCTTCTTCTTCTTCATTTTGCAATTTTTTTTCAAAGAAACCTCTCTACTTATATCTGAAATGTCAAATGTCTATTTCGAAGTGTATAATATCATCGTTTTCAATAAAATGTTTGATTTTAAGCCATAATATCGTATATATTTCCTCTTTACTTTGTTTCTTTGATTTTTTGTTAGATTTTAGTAAAAAACATTTTTTTTCTCGAAATTCTGGAATTGCTCATCGGATTTCAGATTTGTTTTTGAAATTTCAAAGTTTTTTTTTCTCAATCTCCGAAATCCGTAATATCGGTCTAAAATTCTGGAATGCCGGGAATATTTTTTTGTTAGAATTTTTTTTTTCAATCCGGAATCCTCAATTCCGGACTTGGTGGTTATTTTTACAAAAGCAAAAAGTAAATTATTTTTTTTCAAATGCACATTACGTTATGGTTAGATTACTCAATTTCCCTTAAGTTAGATTACTTGTCCCTCGTGGACATGTCAAAAAGCGTGTTTAGTCCCTATTTTCAAAAATTAACTCGTACAGTCTCTGGTTTGGTTAAAAGTTGCACATGTCATCCTTCGTTGGTTTTTATTTGCACGTATAATCCCTTACAAGACATGAAATGACTAATTTACCCTTTTTATTCTTTTTTTTCATTTATTTTTATTTTTCTTACAATTATTTATAATATACAAAATAAAATAAAAAACCCCACCCCACCCACCTTATACTACCTTCCCTTCTAAACCATCTTTCCCCCCTAAATTCTTTGACAAAATCACCACAGCCAGATCATCACCACTGCCCACAACCATCGACCACCACCTATTTTTACCCGAATGAGCCTTCATCAATCAAAAAAACTTACACAACCACCGGCATTACTAAAGGCATTTCACCTGGAATTCATTACCATCATAATCATCTTTATATCCATCCACCAACTGCCACCGTCAACACTTTACATAACCCACTGCCATCCACCACCTTAATCATCATACCCCCACCAAGCCAGCACCTTATGCAAATCAGTGATCACACAAAGAATTAAAAAAAAGAAATTGAAACTCCCATGTTCATCGATTTCATACACCCTAACCTCTAATTCGTTGTCTTCTTTACTTCACTGGAAAAAACAATGGCCAAATTATAAAGGGGTGTTCCATTCTCGATCTATATCTAAAAGAAACAGGAAAGAAAGAGGTGGGTTCAACTTCAATTCCAAACGAGAAACAGATCAGAAGAAATATGGCCATGGGTTTGAAATCAAACTATACAAGTCCAATAAACCTGTCAAACGGTTTTTTTACCAATTCGATCACATCGGTTCAACCCAGTTTTTGAAGAAATCGTTCGATTCAAATCCGATTTAAAAATTGACATAAAACCTGGCGTTGTTGAACCTCTCTCGTCTCTGGTACCTAGTCCACCCGATTTGATCAATCGGATCGAACCGGTTTTTGAAACATTGCAAAGAACTAAACAACAACAAAGAAAAACAATAGTTGTTGTTAATAGCCCATGACGCATATATATATATATATATATATATATATATATATATATATATATATATATATATATATATATATATATATATATATATATATATAGGTTTAGGTTCTATGGAAAACAAAAAAACCCTAAAAATCATAAAAATACATAAAAAAAATACTTAGAGATAGCAAAACTTTTTTTTGAATTTTTTTATCAAAAAATCGCAGCTTTTAACATAAAATCGCTGAAAAAATTTTTGAAATTTTTTTTTTTTTACAAAAAAAAAAAAAAGAAATGATTTTTTATTTTTTTTCAGCGAAATTGTCAAAAAGGCTGCGATTTTTTGATAAAAAAAATTCAAAAAAAGTTTTGTAATGTCTAGGTATTTTTTTATGCATTTTATGATTTTTAGGGTTTTTTTGTTTTCCAAATAACCCTTCCCTATATATATATATATATATATATATATATATATATATATATATATATATATATATATATATATATATATATATATATATATATAGAGAGAGAGAGAGAGAGAGAGAGAGAGAGAGAGAGCAGAGCAGAGCAGAGAGAGCTAGGTTCAAATGTTTCTTACATCTATTGTGTGCTAGAATGCACCAATAAGAATTTAATAAAAAATAAATTATTATATAATTAAATAAAGATAGATATTAAATGATTTCCATAATTATATGTATATTAAATGATATCCATAATTATAATTCATTTTTTATGGAAACTAATTAAATTCGTCAATAATATCAGCAATAATATTTTTTCAGAACGAATTCGAATCTAGTCTTTCATGTATAAGTTCATATTTTGTTTCATGACTCACTTACTCAAAATACAACAAAGTTGCCTACAACATGGAGAATCGAGAGTGTATTCTAGTAGAATGAAAGTTTATTCTAGAAGAATGAGAGTATATTCTAACAGAATGAGAGTGTATTGTAGTAGAATACACTCTCGTTCTTCATATTTCATGCAACTTTGTTGTATTTTAAGTGAATGAGTCCATAAATAAAACACGAACCCACACATGAAAACCTAGATCTTAATTCACTCTGAAAGAATGTTATTGCTGACATTAATGATGAATTTAATTAGTTTCCATAAAAATGAGAATTATAATTATGGATATCATTTAATATACATACAATTATGGAAATCATTTAATATCTATCTTTATTTAATTAAATAATTATTTAATTTACTAAATTGTTATTGGTGCATTGCATTCTAGCATAGAATAAATGTAAGAAACACATGAATATATATATATATATATATATATATATATAAAGAAAAAAGATATTAAACATAAATTTTCCAAAATTAAGACTTTGTTTTACAAACCCATAAAAACAAATTATACAAAAACATTAAAGTTGATTAGTATATCTTGGGAGTATAAACCATCTTACCACCAAGGCGATGGATGAATGTCGAAGTGATTTTTAGTAATCGATCCAATGAGTATGTTCAAGATTTTATTAGGTAGTTTGATGTCTGTAAATTATGTCACTTTTATTTTGTGGTCTCAAGTAAAATGTTTTTCTACTGAGAAAGAATCCAATGAGACTATGACAAGTTTCTCTGAAAGCCAAAAAGATATTGGAATCTTAAAAAAAATGGAAGCGTTCTTGCTTTGATATTCGCAGCTTTTCTGCATGCATGGCTGTATGCTAACTCTTAGTAGGCTTATAATTCATGCACCCTACCACTGTTACCTGACCTCACCATGCTGCTCAGGCTAAACATTGCCATTGGATACTGTACTAGTCATAACATGTTCACTAAATTACATAAATGGTCCCTATGGTATAGTGAAACTAGCAACTTTTGTCCAATTTTTTTTTTGTTACATAGCTCGCTTGGTTTCATTTTCTTGTATGTTTCACCCGAGCATGTGCAGGTGAATTTCATGATTGTACAGTCGTACTTCTATCGGTATCACAGGTGTGTCTGAAGTGAAATATCTTGAATAGAACCTTGTAAATTATTAAATCCTCTTTTGCTGTTGTAATTGGAATATAACCTAATCAGATGATGCAGTGTGGATGTGGAAGTTGATAATATTAATTGAGAAATTTCAAAATTGGTCCCTATGGCATGTTTATATTTACTGGATTTGTCCAAAGGCAATATGATATTTTTTTAAAATATTAATAGCAAAGTGTTAGATTTAATGGCTCAATGACCAAACATGAAAAAAAATGAAACCACAGCTAAATGTGAAAGAAGATGAATTCAAGGGACAAGACATGTAAAAAGAAAAAACCTTGGACCAAAATTGCTAGTTTCAATACAGGAGAAAAAAAAACAGGAAAACAAAGCTAAAAAAATACCCAACTTTAACCTCTCAAAGTCAAAGCTACTGACTCACTGTTCAAAATTGAAATTGGAACAATCACATGTGTGTGTGCGCATTATTTCTCATATTTTTAGGGTTTCAGTCTATGCTCATCAAGAGGAAAACACACTTGTTCACCATGTCAATTATTGCCAAAACAAGTTCAAGGGTACATAAAGTAATTACAAAAAAGATCATAAAAGTGAGACTAAAAAATAAACCCATTTTGACATTATATTAGCAAATTCGAGCTTCACAATTAAAGCTAAATGACCACCAACCTTGGCAATTATTTATGAATTATTACTTGCAAATCTAGGGAAAGGTAAAAACAACATATTTTTTTCCTTCATTCCCATTCTACCCCTACATATGTTAGTGTGTAATACATCAGCTCTATTATCTTGACATCATTATAGATTACACAGCTCTTCTGTTTGCTCTTTACATTCCATTAATCCTCTACTTTCTTATCTGCAAACTATGATATCAATGTTATTATTATTCTTATTATTAATATCCACTTCCATTTATGGTTGCACTTTCACCCATTCATAACGCCCTTCAAGTGGCTTTTCATTCACAATATCAAAGTTGTACCTGCATTATTAACCAAAAATGATTAAATAAAACAAATGATTATTCAGGAACATTTAAATATATAAATATTAAAATGTTAAAAATTAATTTACTTTTCAGAAAAACGTCGCTGCTGCTCATGTGCATGTCGAGCAAAAAACACCTCAATCTCCTGTGCTGAAGGCATAATCCTCTGGATGGAATTCTGGATTACCCTGTTAGAAGCATGTCGGTTTGTAGCAGAGCCAGGGGTATTATTGGTATTTGACTCCCTTATAAAGCTACAAGGTGTGCTTTCTCTAGTGCTCCTACATATATATTAAAAAAAAAAAGAATGGTAATTAGCATAACAAAGAAAACAAAAAATAAAGTCTGTTATAGTCCCAAGAAATTAACTTATGGTCCACTAAAAGGATGGATAAAATGGTTAGAAAGATAACAACAAAAAGAAATATTTGTTTTATAAAATAATGATAGTGGGAGTGAAACTTATACGATACTATCCTTTTCCTGTTTAATTGTCTGTGTACTATCTATCAACTGACACATGGTAAAAAACAACTTGTGTAGGTGGGGCCAGTCCTTTACCATGCATTCTAGTAATACACTGTTGATGAGAATCTAAACTAGGAAGTGGCAATGGTCAACATGTGATTCAAGCAGATTTGGTTTTGTTTCTCTGTTCAACCAATAAATATGCTACACAAATTTAACCCAAAAAATAGGCCTATTTAAATAACAAGTCACGAGATGGAAAAGATGCCGATTGATAATAAATGACACCTATGTTAAAAATAGTAACCATGTTGGATTTTATCTCAATCTCACTACCCATGTCTCATAATATGTTATGAACAACACTAAAACATGTGGGACAGAAATGACTCTAGATCTCTTGTATGGTTGTATGTACAAAGATGTGAATGCTCTTCCCAAATTTGCATGTTTAAAAGACATGAATGCCCTTTATGGCTCGTGGGGTTACAAGAGAAATAATCTGTGTCATGTCATCTAGCAAAAATCTATTCACCATAAAAATGTAAATATAAAAGTAACAACTTTGTTATCTAACGAGATGTGTTCATTCAATGTATTTTTATAGTTCTTTGAAAAAAAAAGGATTTGGAAAGTTAATTGTTTAATTAAAGATGGTACCCACACGATGAAGCAATGAAAAAAGAAAAAGAAAGTGAAACACTTTTGCATATAAGAACAAGAAAGTCCCTCTCCAAAGAGCATTTTCAACCAATACAAAAGAATATTCACACCCACATAAGACAAAAAAGTGCCCTTTAAAAATTATAAAACAACTCAAAAGAACATATAATTGAAATACTCATATTTCTTTTAGCATCAAATAATAACAAGTTGATGACGAACATAGATATTTTTATGAAGAATAGTTGATATTCTGTCCATGGCGTGTATTTAAGAAACGTAAAGCATCAAAAAAAAATTATGTAAAAATAACACTCTTTTCCTCATATAATCAAACAAATATTAAAACAGGAATAGAAGCAGGAAGCAGAAAACTTCTGCAAAAGATGCTAAATTATTATATAAATCAGAGAAATAAATAAATTATACCTCTCTCTACCATCGAAATCAGTATTATTTTCCCCAAAAGAAGTTTCTTCGGTACCAAAATCACAATAAGCCTCTGTTTCTTCAGCTGCTTTGATTTTGGACTCACGCAAAACCCTATGGTTTTCATTACATGAACCGGACCCAACTGAAACTGAACCACCGGAACGAATTACCAACCTCGAAGTTCCCATGCCAGGGTTAGGGTTTTCTTGCCTGCAGCACGTCGATTGTTGCAGCGGTGGCTTTTCCAGCCTACGGCTTCGAAGCTGGAGATACGACAACTCATGGTTGTCCTCGAGCGGAGGTGTGTCAGTGGTTTTCGAAGCTTGAAGTTTCTGTAAGGCTAGGGTTTTGGCTCGCGTTCGGACGCCGAGAGAAGAAGAGACTTCCATAACTGCCACCGCATCGCCGGTCAATTTCGCTTTCCTCATGTACTTCCCCATGCGCCTAATTTGATGACGGTCGAATCAGATTGTGAGAATTGAGTCTCATAAATTCTTGAAATTTCGTAGAGATATATGAAAACGAAGACGGTTGTTTTAGAGAGAGAAAGAGAAGAGGGAAAGAAGGGGGAAAGATTTGATTGTAAGAAGTTAGGGTTGGTGTAAAAGGAGAACGGCAATTTTGGGGGCATTTGTATTGCTTCCGGAATTTTTTATATACCTAAAATGCCCTTTGGTTAATAACAAATTAAAATAATTAAAAAATGGCATCCAAAGTGGTATATGCTCAAAAATAATAGTATGTGATATAAATATTAAACTTAAAAAATTAACCATGTTAAAACAGGTTGTAAAATACCTACAACTACTTTTGACAAACAAACAAACAAAAAAAAAAAAAAAAACGCTATACACATTATTTATTAAAAGATCTAAATAATCAATTTTGATACAATTTCTAAGAAATTGATTATTTGAAAACAATGAGTCATCATTTAAATTCCAAATTGTTAAAAAAAAAAGTCAAAAACTAAATATTATGACTTAAATATAACTAATTTCAGTATAAAGGTATAAATATCATCATAATCTGTTACGTCCAGTGATATAGAAAAGTTTATAAAAATTATGTTAAAAATCATTTAGATGATGTGAAAAAAGTTTATAAAAATTATGCATGCGTTCTTTCTCTCCTCCCCTCGGCCATAGATTCATCTTTTTCCCGCTTTTTTTTAGGCATTGAACCCCACCGCTCTGAGGGGTGCTGAGTGGTGTCCTCCCCTCCCTAATACCTAACTAGAAAGGTGACCCCTATGTTGCGGGGGTCGGAAGGTGTCACTTTTGTTTGGAAATATAGTACATTGTTCTAATTGGTAGCTACAGTAAAGTATGTTGTTTGAGTCAATTTTATTTTACTTTGCTGCTTTACAAATGATCTTCTACCACTCTTTGCACCTTCAATATAATTCCGGTCATACTGATAGTCAACGTCGATTGCATCCATCTGCAAACAACATAGAACCATCAATATAACATATTTCATACGGACAACAGTAAAAATTCGTACAACTTGACAGCAACAGATTTTGCTAGCAACAATTTTATCAGATAATGTCATTTTGACATCAATTTGTTCTCAAATGTTTTACTCCTCTTCCTGGAAATGAAATCGAACCCACATAATCTCCTACAGAGTACTGGCTATTGTTTCCCTTCCTCTAGTCTCCTGTACGACAGATTCCACACACCTGACCAAGTGGCTGATACCACTCTAAATCTTGATTTGAGGTAAGCATTGTTGTTTGGGTTTACTGAAAGGTAATTTGCTATTAGAGAACAAAATTTACAACTATAGAACAATAATAAATAAAAACCGCAAAAGAATATTCAAAAAAAAAAAACTTACAAACAGAAGTTTGAAGTGTTGAAATCTTCATTAAACCTGCAACGAAACGAAACAAACAAAAAATCTGTGAAATATGAAATCAACAACAACTATAAGTATACTTGACTGGGTGAAGTTGAATCCATAACGATGGAGTGTGCCTAGAAAGAAGTAAAAGTAATGCAATTGAAACGAATCAGCTACAAAACTTGTAGTAAATCAAACTTGTAGAGTTGGTAGTATGATTCACATAATCGAGATGTAAGTTATCATGATTACAAATCTAGGGATTAGAGGGATCGAGACACTAATGGTCATCGAACTAACCTCTAAAACTCTATCAGCCATTGGTCTTGAACAACCTGATATCAAAATGAACCCCTATCATATGTCCGAGTGTTTGCCTAATGAAGCAAAAACATAATTGGGTTATTCTACAAAAGTGCCAATGTATTTACCATGTTGTAAGAAATATAAGTTTAATCTAGGAAGAAGAGATCGATGATACAGTTTTCCAAGTACAAACACACTCTTGACCAGATTTTTCGTTGAGGAGTTTTGTCGAGCAGCTGGTGTTCAAAACTTAAAAAAGCACAAAGAACATAATCAATAAGTTTAGAAAACACTAAAAATCGTGAAATTCAGAAACAAATGATGGAATCAAACTGCTCTTACACTCTTTCCTGTCTTCCCTCACCTTCTGTCTCCCCCTGAACCAAATTAGTTGATGGCAGTTGGGTTCGATGACCATCAGTTGCAGCAACAACAATCAATTGCAATAACAGCATGCATCTTGTATGCTTCATATAACCTGATGCAGTTGTCGACTGTAAAAAATAAGTGAAAGACCCTGAGATCAGCTTGCTGGCCCAGCTGAGTTCATCGGTTTGGTATTTAAGTGAGAGAAGGATGAGATCGATGTTGAATATGAACAATCGATTGGGTTATCCTACAAAAGTGAAAGAGGACGGATATGGGTGAGACGTAAAGACGTAAAACAGGAAGAGAACAAAATCAAACGAAAAATCAAACACCCAACAGAAAATAAGAATGTTCTCACTCCATGTTCATTGATAGTTCGATATTTATTAAGGTAAGAAACATTAGACATCCTAAACCATGGATCTGGAGCAACAAACATAGATACATGGCATACCTTCAGGTTTGCAAATCAATGAAAACAATAAGCACAATAGGACATAATGATCTAACGTTTAAAGGAGAAAATAACACCTTTTCTTGTATAAAGATGTATGAAAAGCCTTGGGCTCAATAAGAAGTGTTCCTGAAGCAAAAGAGAAACATTAATTAACATACATATAAATAACTATAGTTATTATTTATTTTTCTTTTTTATAGATTTTTAACAATAAATCTTTTGTATTTATAATAATTACCAATGAATCCAATCTTCTTTTGCTTCAAAAAACCATGTCTGCCAATAAAATATAATTATATCTATTTTTTAACTACTATTAAATAATTATTGGATTGTTTTTAAATTTTTATAAAAAATTTACCATATGGTCAAGCTTTCTCTCCATATCAGCGCTGATAAGAGTTTGATAACCCCCCCCCCCCCCCCACGACCACCTTAACAACAGATCCGTCCATTTGTCTGGAAGCAAGCAAAGAGAGTCGACTCAATAGCTATTTCAATATAAAAGCACAAAGTTATTATAAAATGCAATATTTAAAAGAAAGGTCATAAAATGGGAATGTTAATCAATAATTCAGGATATGTTATGGGTACCTTACCATTTTGAGCTACCGCAGCCAAAATTAACAAATCAAAATCAATAAGAAATATATTTCATACTCTCATCCTTAATGTATCAGCCGATATATTATACAACACTTTTCTGTGATATGTGTGCAGGTTGAGATTTTTGTTAACATAGGAACATAAACATTTTTTATTAATCGAGACACTAATTACATAAATCTGATACATACATACATATATATATATATATATATATATATATACAACCTCCAACCATCACAACCCTTCAAGATGACAATTAATTTTAACCGCTATAACTACCTTTAACCACCGTATAAGTGACTTATATAACAACTAACTGATAACAAAATTTAACAGTCATAACCAAGCATATTAAATGTCAAGATTACCCTTCAACATTACAAAGAACAAATCATCATTTTAACCAATAATTGCTGGTGCTCTAGTCCAATCCAAAAGATAAGGGTGTTCTGGTACAGGAAGTCCAATTAACGCATACTAAAAAGAAGCTAGTTTCATATTACAATATAGAATGTTCTTTAATATTCCCATGAGGATTATACAAAACGACAATCGTACATAGAAAGTCACATATAAAATAAAAACTATAAGATTAATGAAAAAAATGTTTAAAGTTTACCTCTTTTGTCCAAAGACAGGTTTCCATCTGCTAATGTTTTAGACATGTGTTGAAAAACCCCAAATTAAGCTTTCAACACTGAAAATAGAATCCAATAGCGACTCTTCACTGCTGTTGCCCAAATTGTGCCTACATATACATTTTTATCAAGACTCCATTATATTTTGTGAGTTTGGTTATTCAAAAAATCAAATCAATCAATATATTGAATAAAAGTTAAAGTTTATAAATTAAACTAACCATTGCTGGTAAGCTTGTGGTTTGAGACCCAAAATTGCAAGCCTTCCATTTGACCTGCATCATACTTCCAATTTTTTGCTTCATAATAATTATATTAAACTAATAGAAACTTCAAAAAATATTTTCTTTAACATTCAAAGACTGGATGGCAAAAGAAACCTTATGAGCTGGTTACAATCGTTGTGAATGCCCCAAAGGTATTTCATCGAACATGTGGTAATCAAAGCTGATAAGAAGAGCAAATTCCAATCTCATAAACAAAGTAGAGAAAGCAGACAGAGTTGGTAGAAAAAGAAAGTGTCGATTGAAGTCAAAATCAATTACCCAACTGAATCCATTGTACTCATCTGCTCCCTTCACAATTTCTTTTCCAAAATCCATGGCGTGTTTCTAGGTCTGTAATCATCAAAATTACAGAAATCATACCAACAGGAAAAAAAACTTGGTGGACATCATTTACCTACAGTGGAAACTTGCTTTAGGAGATGAAATCATTTAGGAGATGAAGTCATTAACTGCTTATTCGAAATCTCGTGCTGAGAGAAGAAACAATACCTTTCACACCTGTGTGTAGAGTGAAACAGTCCTCCAATCCCACAGATGTTGAAGAAGAAGGGAAAACGAAGAGTAAATGACCGGAATTCAAGGCTCGCAAGGCATGAGAGAAGTCCATGTCGGTGGATTCCTGTCCAATATCGGTTCTCTATCGGTAGGTGTCGTAGAAACCTAATTTTGATGTCGTGTTGCAGGAGATGTCCAGATACAACAAACACACATGAAGAAACCGCACTGGGAAGAAAAATGCGTGGAGCCATAATCGATTACAGAAAGAAAGAGATACGATTTCTGGAAAAGAAAGAGATAGAGGAACAGATAAAGTGAGAGGGAGAGAGAGAGAGAGAGAGAGAGAGAGAGAGAGAATCACCTGGTATTGGTTTTGTGAAGAGGAGAATGGATTTGAGGTAGCGGTGGTGGAAGGACCAAAAGAAGCGGTAAGAGAATCGATCGTTGATAATCACATAAACCTAGAGGAAAAAGTGTTTATGACGCCGTTAACAGAGAGAATCGATCGTTGATAATCATCCACTTAAAAATCAATCACAGAGCATGAAACACATACCGATTCAGCCATAAGTCGGAAGCCCTAAATCGTCGAT